AGAGAGAGAGAGAGAGAGAGAGAGAGAGAGAGAGAGAGAGAGAGAGAGAGAGAGAGAGAGAGAGAGAGAGAGAGTAGTTGGTTAGGACACCTGTCTCATGAGCAGGAGGTTCCGGGTTCCTCCTTCTGGCTCTTCCTTCGTCATAAGTTGATTGCAAAACTTGATAATGGATGAATGAAAACCAAGACTGTGGCTGAGTACAGAGCTTTCAAGATAGAAAAATGAAGGACAGACAGGACTAGGTAAAGAAGAAACGAATCAGAACCACCAGTATGGCCAAAAACAGAGTGTAAAGCGGGAAAGAAAATCTAGAGTAACGCCAATACTATATTACAAAATCGACCAAGCTAGCCTAGCAATATGCATACTAAGTTCATAGGCTTCATAGTATGCTATGCCCTAGGTTGATTTGGCACAACTTGGGAGCACCCCCGTCGCCATTGCAAGCTCTCCCACTACTTCCGCAAGGAGTGCTGCTCACCCTGAAGGCTCACCCTGAAGGCACCCTGAAGTGGAACGAAAGATGGGTATGGGCTGACTGGCGCAGAAAAGCCAGGTGTGGCAAGGGTCCAAGGAGGAACCTTTGGTGGTTTCTGAGATCGTGGACAAAAGATAATCAACTGGCGGGAGTACAGTCCACGCGCGGGCTTGTGGTCTCGAAGTGGTTGAGTAGTTAATGACAAAGTAGGATAGTTGGGATTAGGATAGGAGGGGTCATTGGAATAGGGGACCTTGGTACTCGGTCAATAGGGGGGAGGCTAAAGAGTACCAATATTGAAACCAAGACACTCGGTTATGTAGGGACGCAGTGGTCCGATAGGAGAGTGTCCGGCGGAACAGTCTGTTCCACCGGGTCGTTTAGACCTGGTCGTCGCGATAGATGCCTGTAAGAGACGTGGTGTTGGATTTAAGTAGGTTTTAAGATGATGGTATGTACCAAGGACAGCATTGTTGTGTGATCCAAAAGGTTAACTAGGTTGGTCAGAGAAGAAGGTTAAGAGGGTTTCCAGCTTGTCTGGGACCGTAAGCTAAACCGATTGAAGCTGTCGGGATAACTCCGGGTTGAATTGTGAGGTTCCCGGCTTCCTATTATTGTTTGCTGTTAATGATGGTCAATTCTTTTGGGAAAAAAAAAAAAAAAAAGATCAATTGTAGAATCTATTCTGATGATCTGATCAGTTTTTTTATCTGGAAAGAAAAAAAAGAGAGAATCCAGATAAGTTGGCCCTTGCCCCAGGAAAGAGGATTGTCGCAAGGTGTTTGTACTACTGTGGGCCTAGCTTCACTACTCACCAAATGTGCAAAATGAGAATGAATCTTCTTCTAGAGCATGAAAAGATACACTGCCACACTTTTTTGTCTTTTCTGCATGTGGTGAGTAGTGCAGCAGAGAGGATGACATGCAATGACACGAAAGCATGCAATAAACAACACTCAGGACAAACCCGACATCGGACGGTCCTTCCTGGTCTGAAGAGGCTTTCCTACCCTTTTTGATCATACACTTATTGCGATGTACTGTTGGGGACGTTGGACCCGATTTCCATCAGGAGCAACTTCTCACTAATAGAACAGGGTCATACAATCATTGAAAAAGGGCCATACAATCATTGGAAGTTCATTATCATCATCATCATCATCATATGAGGGATGTTGAGTCCGGTTCCCAGCTTGTTTGGTTCGGTTTCTCCGGGTAGACTGTGAGGACCCCGACCTCAATCTTCTTATTGGTAATATCAGCCTTGGGTACTAGGCCCAGTTTGTAAAAAAAAAAAAAAAAAAAAAAAAAAATTGTGTAATCATCATCAAACATGAGCTTCATATAAAATTGACTCACATTAACCAGTGGCGATTAACTGTGGTCATCATGTAACCGTACGCAAAGCAGATAGGATGATATGTAACCGCACGCAAAGCAAACAGTAAACAGCACTCAGGACAAAGCCTACCAAGTCAATTTCTCTACTGGCCTGGCCTATCCCCCGACTGGTGTGATGATACTGGGACTTGAAATGACAATGGGTACCAACACACATGTCTATAATTATAGAAAATTCAAAAAACGTGTCGTCGTACTGTGCCCTAATCTCGTTTTCATGCCACTAGCAAACAATAATGTGAAAACATACCAACAGGCTAGCTCAGATGGTACACCCCCCATGAACTGTTGAAATACAGACTCAAGTTCGAATCCAGATGCCCGCAGATGTAGAAAATAAAATCATTCTAAATTACCTGGGCTGGTCGGTTCAATGATGATATCTCACGGCCGTCGCCCATGTTTTTTTTAATAATAATAATAATAATAATAATAATAATAATAATAATAATAATAATAATAATAATAATAATAATAATAATAATGTGAAAACATTTGTAGGACTATAGAACGACACAACTGTTTTATCCCATAATTTGAAGGCACCTCCCAGAGGTACCTTAAGATGAAAGGATGGGATATGATTGCCCCCCCATCTGCAGGTGTCAGACTGGCCAGCTGCTTTCGCCCGAGTGGCGTGGAACTCAGCGGTTCCCCCCCCCCTCACCCTAATAAGGTCCAACGTACAATTATAAGAGCGTAGAGTTTGGTGGAACCAATGATGGGTAGGTGCAAATTAACCGCTTCCACCAGGCTTCCACCAGGGCTGGGCAACCTATCAGCCCTGGTGCCTATCACTGCTGTTCAGCCCAAGTTACCTGCCCATTGGTAGGGTAATGGTCCTGAGTGCTGGTCACACTGAGGTAGGATAGTGGGATAGGGGGTGCGCTAGGAGTATTGACGTGAGGATGGGATGAGAGGTGGTCCCATTTCCAAGACACCCACGGCCTACCGCTCCGGGTGATCACTGTGTACTCAATGACTGG